AAAATATAGCGTTCATTTTAGCTTTACCATGTCTATCGTAATCTTGAACAAACATCACATTTCTCGCATATGCATACATTTATATTCTACCTGGCATGTCGATGATTCAGCAATTCAGCACGTGACGTATGTAATTTACATATTGGGTTGCATTCGATAAACACAAAACACGACTGGAGAACGTATTTCGCCGTTTAGTTCCAAAATACACGAATATTTTAAGTAATTGTTACATCAGATTTGTTATTACGTTAGATAGGTATTGGTGCTAATTCTGTTGTTGAAAACCTCTCTAAACTAAAAATCACTAAAAATTTGTTTAGTTCTGTCAAACAACGTTTCCTATTCTGAAAACGTATTATTTGACAGGACATAATTTTTTTTTTGTGATTTTTAGTTTAGTTTGAGAGTATTGAGTATTTAGTTACTGATCAGTTCATTAAGTTATTCTGAATATACCGAACTCAAAGAAACTATGATATATGATAATGGAAAGCGGTTTTTTAATGTGAAATAACTAGTCCGGAGTGTCAGACTAGCTGTTGGGGTGGCGACGCATCACTACACGTTTGCACGATACGATGTTTTACATTTGCCAGACGTCCTGAGACGCGTGACGGATCAATATTTTTTAACGATACGTGTCAACTATGTTATTAAATTAATTTGAATTTGGAAATCAAAACAGGGACCAAAAAATAGAGCTTAATAGTAGCCAGTATTAAAACCATGTGATGGCACCACAATTAGTTGCAAGGATTAAGAATACGGATTTAATTACAATGATTAAAAATACGGAGTGTCACTATTTAGTGTGTTTCGTAAGAGCCGAATAAAACCTGAAATAGACCCTAACGGGCTCGTCAGGCTATCGTTGTATAGTAGGCCAAAACCTCCTTTCTAAAGAGTGGGCTATATCCAGCAGTGGAATATTAAAGGCTGTTGGTGATGATGATGACGATTAAAAACCATTTTCACTGAATGTGATGTAACTAGATCTGATTTAGATGTAAAGTCATTTTAGTCAGAGGCCTTAGACTTGGACGGAACCTTGTTTTTCTCTGGTTATCGTTTAACATTCAACAATTCGTTTTCTACCATTGACTTCTCTGACTCTCTTTATCTATTTTCCTTTCAATATTTTTATTTGTTTATTTACAAAACTTTATGCACTATTGTACTAAGGCGGACCTAATTCCTGCACCAGGGACTTCCTTTCTAGGGTATACTTGGTTTCCCGGCTATTAGTACCCGAGCCCGCCTGCGGTTATAGTCGGTTCGAGTCCGACATGCCATGGTGGTATCCGAGGGGATTTCCGCAAGAAAAAAAAGAGGGCATTCTCTTCCAATCAATTTTTGGGTGGTTAGTAGTAGGCGCACATAGGTATCATTACTATTCAACTAAAATATACACTACACAACACTACATACTGTGAATGTAAGAAAATTGCTGGTATCGATTGGATGAATTTGTCATCTCATTTTGGAGGAGGTCATGTACCTTCTTTTTAAATACGGAACGAGTGGACATCCTGACTTCAAGCGGGAGTGCATTCCAGAGTAGAACTGCTTGAACGAAGAGTTCACGAAGTCGGAATTGTGGGAGGGACAAAAGAGAATCAAATTATTTGCAGAGCGAAGATTACTGTAGTGATTAGACGACAAGAAACGGAAGTACGGTGCAAGGTAAGTAGGTGAGGATGGAGATTATTATAATATGCTTTCAATTTTACCATATAATTTCTAAAGTGGAACTAAAATTACAATCGGCAAAATGTGGTGGTATAATATGCCGCTGCCTACCCCTTTAGGCATTTATGAAACAATTAGCAGCTTAAGACTACATATATTCTCTTCGCTGTACAATTACAAACAGATTCATGCTTATGCATGGTGCTTATGCTATTAGAACATTGTTCATTAGGTGAATCGTTTCGCTGTTCGTGTATTGGGGACTTTACTTAGTACCGACGCGGCGACGTGTTAATGAGTTTGATGATTGTATTATCATGACATAGGTGCATGGTGTGTTATTGAACAGCCTTTACATGCAAAATATTATCATTATTTTACTCGTGGGAAAGTATAAAGATACTTAAAGCTTTAATTTTTAAATTTTGCTTTTTTAGCATAGCATAGCATTGCCACTGAATATAATTTTTTCTCTCTCTCTTAGATGTACTTTTACAGAAAGAATTCTGAATTACTTCTTTCATTTATCTTTCAATTACTTTAAATATAAAACCCTCTTAAATCTCTCTCTCTCTCTCTCTCTCTCTCTCTCTCTCTCTCTCTCTGTTTCTCTCTGTCTCTCTCTTTCTATTGGCGAAAACCGCATTAAAATCCGTTGCGTAGTTTGAAAGATCTCGTACAAGAAAAAAAAAACTATGCAAAGAAGATAAAATGCAAACAGTTTAAAGAGATCTAGGAATGGGACCTCACATGAACAATCATATATCGGACATTTTTATAATGAAATAATCTATTACTTTCAAAAAGCACTAAAATTGGTTGAAATTAATAATTTTTTATGTTATTATTCTGCCGACGAATTCTCCAATGACCAAATAGCCCACATTATCACATTTACTTAATTATTGATTTTGAATTAATTATGACTTAATTACAACCTTCTATTGTGCAATCCATTCTTTAATTTAAAATATGCATGCAATATAATAATGGCCTGCTATCACGAAACGAAATGACTGAGTCTAGGCGATCATTTAAGGGGAAATTGAAATGGTGTCAAAATAACCAACAACAAATTAAGATGGATATAATAGCTCAGCACCATTGCAATAATAACTTTTCTAAGTTTTGGAAATCAACGAACAAGTTGAATCTGAAGCCGAGTCGTCCCGTGAGCGTCGGGGGTGTACATGAGCCGAATGATATCGCGAGATTATTTCAGCAGCATTTCAGAATTGAACCGCTTATGGGATCTGCACAGTCGGAACCATTGTCGGTGGCCAATGGAGATATTAATGTAAGATTCTGTGAAAAGGATATTTCTTTAGCTATCCATTCTATGAAACGAGGAAAGTCTCCAGGTCATGATAACCTCAGTATCGAACACCTACGGTATGCTGGGGTACACTTACCTGGAGTCCTTGCTTTGCTGTTTAATCTGTGTGTTAGCCACTCCTACCTGCCTGACGATTTCATGCATACTATTGTTGTCCCCATTGTAAAAAACAAGACCGGCGATGGTTCGGACAGGTCAAACTATAGGCCTATATCCTTGGCTACAATTATAGCGAAAGTGATGGACAGTCTGCTTGACGGTCACTTATCTAAACACATCAAACTGCATGACGGTCAGTTCGGCTTTCGGCCTGGTCTATCGACGGATAGTGCAATCATGTGCCTCAAGCAGACTGTGCAGTACTATACCGCGCGTAAAACGCCAGTATACGCGTGTTTTCTGGACCTGTCCAGGGCATTCGATATGGTTTCATACGAGCTACTGTGGACAAAAATGCATAAAGACACTAGTCTCCCTCCTGAGATTGTATCCATATTTATGTACTGGTACAATAATCAGAAAAATACTGTGAGGTGGGCGGATGGTGCATCGGATGAGTACGGGCTGGAGTGCGGGGTGCGTCAGGGGGGACTGACATCACCGAAACTGTTCAATTTGTATATGAACGGCCTGATTGGAGAGCTAAGCAGCACCGGAATTGGTTGTCATATAGAAGGAATTTGCGTTAATAATATTAGTTACGCGGATGATATGGTACTGCTCAGTCCTTCAATCGGGGCGTTGCGCAGGCTGATACGTATTTGTGAAAGATACGCTGAGGCTCATAGGCTCAGATATAACGTGAAGAAAAGTGAGATTATAGTGTTTAGAGCACCCAAAAAGGTTTATTTAGAGATACCATCCGTATCACTCTATGGGACACCTTTAAACAGAGTCACTCACTTCAAGTATCTGGGCCACTGGGTCACCGAGGATCTTAAAGATAATATGGATATGGAAAGGGAACGTAGGGCGTTGTCTGTTCGCCGTAATATGTTGGCTCGCAGATTTGCACGCTGCACTGAAAAAGTGAAGGTTACACTATTTAGGGCATTCTGCCAGACTTTCTACACGTGCAGCTTGTGGGTCAATTACACGCAGAGGACCTACGACGCCTTGCGGGTGCAGTACAATAATGCATTCAGGGTGTTGATGGGGCTGCCGCGGTTCTGTAGCGCGAGTAGCATGTTTGCAGAGGCGCACGTGGACGGCTTTCACGCGATAATGCGAAAGCGCTGTGCATCAATGATGGCACGGGCGCGCGGCAGCCCCAGCGCCATCCTGACCGCGAGCGCCGGTCGAATGGACTCGGCACTGATGGCACACTGGATAGGCCTACACGTGAGACCAAGCGCCTGACTGATGTTACTAACACTAGGCTAAGAATATTGTTACTAACAAATTATATGGACTTAGTCTGAAAATAAATTATTATTATTATTATTATTATCACTCTCTGCAATATTTGCACGCCATTCTCATAACATCGTGTACATCTTCACTGTTTGTCACCTTTATACTTTATACCTTTATACCTAACATGTTGTTTATATGTAGGTAGAAGAAGAGTAGACGGTCAAAAAATTTAATCTGAAAATCTAAAAAAAATATATACCTACTGGAGAATTAAATAAAACATGAAATTAAAACGGCCGTAATTCGATCGCCAAGCGATCTCCAGTAATGTGTAAACCATGAATAATGCAAGTCCCTTGACAATGGTAAATAAGGCACTCTCTCTCAGCCAGTAATTGATGTATGAAAGCGATAACCGCCCTTGCCCATGAAATTACACCGTTCGATCACTTCCATGATTACAAAGTTTATCAACGATCATACTTAATGGACCGATGGGTACAGTATCTTGTCATGCTTATCAACATACGGATTATTCACGTTAATATATGGACGGTATATTATTGTAGTTTGTTTAGTATCTGGGAAACCGGGGATGTAGATTCTAGATTGCATCATGACACGGATGCAGCTCCTTCGGTCTACATCTTTAAAAAGATTTAAAGGAATTTCGTCTATAGTAAGGTAAGTTTATTTTAACTTTTAAACTTTCGCGTTCCATGATAATTAATATTATTTAACGGGAATTAACGCGATCTCTTATTTAGGGTATTACATATACGGCCGTGGTCACAGGCTGACTGTGACCACGGCCGGTGCAACCTGGTCGAAACGTCAGGCAAACCAGAGGTATGTAATACCCTAAATAAGAGATCGCGTTAATTCCCGTTAAATAATATTAATAAGTTTATTTTACTTTTATTTAGTGTTTGTTTTTATTTAGGCAAGATTCTTATTTGAAGGATTGGTTTTGGGAAATCCGAAGTTTTATTGTGATTTAGACGTAGTCTTAATAGTTAGCTGTTGATACAATCGAGTTTTTTCTTCTTAAAATAAATAATTTATATAAAGTAAAATCAAGAGTCTTTAAATGGGTTATTCTCAGTAGTCACCACGAGCTTCCTTGCCACTAGTGATAGATAGAAAAATCGCTGGTGAATGGCTTCAGAGATATTCACTTTTTTGTTTTTGGTATTTTCACAAATTTTAACATTGCAAATTTTTAGAAAAGGAAAACTTGAAACAGGGTTTACAGTTTAACCAGCCTAGACAGCGTGGTTTAATAGGCCAAAACCTACTTTCTAAGGAGAGGCTTATATCCAGCAGTGGACTATTAAATGCGATTGCGATGATGATGAAATTATTACCAAGTTAAATGAATTTTCTTTCTTTATTAGTCGTCACTTGTTATTCACTTAACTTAGATATATAGTAATAATAATTAGCGATTATGGCAACTTTAATCACAAACGATTTTGTTAAAAAAAAGTTGTTTTGTAATTTTAATTTTTGTCATTCGGCAACATTGGCTCTTGCACTTATTCTTATTTCTTAGATATTTTATTTCATAGAAATATCTGACGCGTATGATCATTAATCATTAAACACTATTTTATTTTATTCCTTTCGGTGTTAACAATAAAAAACACTAGTAACAATTTGTGATTTTTATTCCAATTTGTCACAAGTACTATCGGCAGTGGTCGTCACCACTGCCGATAGATACTTGTGACAAATTGGAATTTCTCATGCCATTTGTCAATACGTACGGGATTATTTTTCCCATTTGTCACCAGTGGGAACAAAGCCAGTGGTAACAGTTGGTTATAACCGTTTTAAATCAAATTTATTTCAAAAGTTTGTATTACTGTGATTCGTATGTCCGAGTTGATAATTCAAGTCGAAAAAATTACTTAACAATAAATACTTTGACAATAGCAAAGTCTAACATCTCAGATTTTTATTCCATACAAATTCTATAAAACGTTATCTATCCAATTAAGTTTATCCATTAAATCAGACAACTACTAATATGAATTATTAAATATGTGTGAAAGTAACTTTTTTGTCGAGTCGTAAACCTGATTTGGTAAACATTAAAAAAATCTCTATAGTCACGAATTTAAGAGTTGCAAAGAAGCACTTTTCCGTGTTCGTATATTCTCAAAACCGATTGATTGACCGAAGTAGAGAATATCCAATGACTTACACCTTATTACTTCTTACACTTTAGAGAAGTACTCTTAATTCCTTCGTGCATCGCAATACACAACAAAGAGAACAAAAAAGAGGTTCTGCATGAATAGTTTATTAAATAATTACGGGGAAAAGTTTCTAAACTATAATTAAACTTGTTAATTTTTGTATTTGTAATTTTTTCTGTTTCAGGAATGCATCATTTAGTAGTGGCTGGCTGCATCTGGCTATCCAGGGTTTATTTGCGGTTATCATCGTTACAAGTTTTATTTTAATCCTTTTGGTGGCATTACACTACTCATCAGACAATGGATCTGATACGGTTCCGGCTGAAAACCGGTGTTTTACGAAAAGCTGTATAGTTGCCTGCACGCAGATTCCATACTATGGCAATTTTGAAGATGACATCGTCTTTACAGTATCGGTAAAATGTTTTATTACTTTCATATTAAATATATATATATATATATATATAAGAGATTTCCACGTATATAGTCACTCATCACGATATCTCTGGAACCATTAGAGCTAAAGACTTGAAATTTGGTAGGAATATTCTTTTCACCGAGTAGAGGTCAGCTAAGAACGGATTTTAAGAAATTCAAAACAAAAAATATTTTAGTAATGTAAATAGCAAAACAAGGTTTGCAGGGTCAGCTAGTACGATATATAACATAAAAATAAGTAGTTCTTCTCAGTGATTAAACAAGAAAATTCAAAAAGTTTAAATGTTATTAACTTGAAATTTTTTTTACAAAATATCAACAGTAGAAAGCTACTAAGTAAAAAGGGGTTGGGATTTTGTAAGCTCAAAACATCAAATTATTGTTTTTTTCCCTGAATGTAAATTTTGTAGTTGGATGAAGGATATTAAAAATAAAACTATTTTATTTCAGCAACTTCCAGAATCGTGTTCGGGGTTTTACTTAGCACTGCACAATCCTATGTTTCATCACGGGACTCTAAAATCAGATTGGATACCAAGGCTGCGACTACCAATCATCGAACTCAGCATTACTGGCGGAAACCTGAACCATTTAACACCAAATGCTTTCCTACATCTACATACTGCCCACATTAGATCATTAATACTTCATGACTTAATTATAAAGACTTGGGATACAGACAGTCTTGTTGGATTAACTCATTTAGAGAAATTATGGATAGACAAGAGTACTATTGTTGATGTTGCAGCCAATGTATTTAGATCTGTTCATAATACTTTGGAGTCTCTGACTATATCACACAGTAGACAATGGGATCCGGCAAATATTACAGGAACAATGAACCTCCCGAGTGTCACTATAGTTGACTTTTCTAATAATATTTTTAACGATGTACTAGGCAAAAACAGTTTCACTGGCCTAGGAAGCTGTAAAATGTTGTACCTAAATTCTTGTAACATATCTGCCATCGGTGAAGGAGCTTTTGATAATTTGTTTGCAATTGAAACGCTGTTTCTAAATGATAACAACCTAGTTACAATACCAAATGACCTATTCAAAAACATATTGACTATTACTAATCCGACAGCAAGAATTAATCTACACGACAATAATTGGCATTGCGGTTGCTTTACAAATAATATGAGACAGCTAGTCAGTAGTGACGTTTTGCTTACTCATCCAATATGTAGATCGCCAGAAATTTTTGCAGGCAAAACTTTCTTCGAAGTTCTTTCACATTGCAATTATAGTGCTCCTATACCAATTTTTTCAAAGCATATATCTCCAACAAGTAAGTCGAGTATTATTCATATTAACAATGGTTGTTTGAATGGCAACATCTCTTCTAGGAGTACAGTAATGAAATTAATTTCTCCGATAACAAAACACCAATGTCCACAAAGGCACATAAAAAACGATGACCTTCGCCGAATTTCCATTTCCAGAAGTAGCTACCCTATAGTATCCGAACATAGTTGGATCCAATTTTCATTCATTTTAAATGTTGAAAACTATTCAAGCATTCAAATAAACCTCAAAGAGGATAATAACCTTGGTATGTTATGGTACCAATCAACTTGCCCCAATGAAGTGTTTTGTATTGATGACTCTACAAGTACTTTCAAAATTTTTAATATTGATTTAGATGCTGATTATGTATTTTGTCCGATATCAAACATTTCAGGCTTTATAGCAAATGAAAAATGTGTTACTTATAATCTTAAAAGAATTGCTCATACCGAGATCGGGAACAAACTTCAAATACTGTTTTTTCTTTTGATCGGTGGAATATGCTTAGTATTGGGAGCTATCTGCGTTTATATATTAGTTCGTACACATCCTGTTCTTTTGAAAGGCAGCAAAAGGATATTGTTTGTGAAACACAAAACATTAGACGCTCTCGTTTTACCTCCAAAAGTGACCGTGAGGAACGATTCAGAGAATGAAACTCATCCAGATTTAAATGATGACAACATTTTTACCGTTCCAGCTAACTCTGGGAATAGAAGATTTTTTAGAAACATTTCTATGAGAAGTAATAAAAGCAGTGCTCCAAGTTATATTTCGGCAGTTCAACCATCTGAATTGCAATTGACAGAATGGCGCATGAGGAATAATTTCACAACCGAAGGGACATCCGAACTTACTGTAAATTCGTGGCTGTATAACCCAGATAGTCATCACTATATAGATGTACTTGATTTCGATACAACTTATGAAAGCTTAAAGTAAATAATCCTTTAGATGCAGCCAGAAATATTTGTTAAAATAATTTACTAGAAATGGTATTTTACATTTTCATAAAAAAAAAAATCTAAGGAAAGGTCATCCACTGTCGTAAATAGTGTCGTGATGAATACAGTAATATACTATTATTAATATAACAATTACATGCACATTTACAGAACCTGTTAACAGAAAGTATAAACATTGTCATCGGACTAATTTCTAAGCAAAAGTGTTTTGTGTAGAATTTTAAGTTACAATTATATTACTTATTAGCTGCTTTGATGACTAGATTGTAGTAAGTATCATGGTATGATGTGTAAAATCATATAAAAAAAAAACACCAATTACAAATTACAGTGCTTAGGTATAACAGTATATGTGTGGGCGATTTTGGAAAATTCACCTTCTTTATTTCCAATATTTGTTATATCATAAATGGTCGACCCCACATTTATGAGACTCCTCCTCTTTAGTGACGTCACATATTTTTCAATTTAACATATGTACGTGTATTTTTTTCCATTTCTATAAGCCAGTTCCAGTTATAAAATTAGCAATTTTTATCATAAATTAACATCAATTATTTGTATAGAGTATATAAAGTGATGAATGAAATGAATGCTGTTAATGATTAAAATTTATCATTTGAATACTTAGACATTTAGATTTTGAAATGTGACATTTGACGTAATTGATAGATGTCTCCTTGCTTCTTAAAAGTGCTCTGTCCTATTAAAAAACCAAGAAATGGTTGAACATTTGAAACATAAAAGTAAAGTTGGAAATATATCTCTTACCTTACTAACATCTGAACCAATCGGAACCTTTAATACCTTTGTTTTGACAAATATCCGTATAATGTACGGAGCTTTTTATATTAAGAGTTTGTAAAGTAGTACTCTATTTAGTGCTAGCCAGTGTTGATTTTTTTGGTTTGTTATTGAAGTTACTTAGTTTATTTACTGGAAACATTACTGGAAACATTCAACATTGGAGCTTTCTGATGTATTAAGAATTCTAGTGCATTATTTATAATTTCGGTAATAATACATTAATAATCACACGTTATATTAAATGAGTACAACAACGCGCTTTTAGTCTTTACATTAAATTTAATACCATGTTCCTTTATATAAAATATGTTTTTAAAGTGCTGTTTCTTGTTTTTACTATTTCCTTATCAATACAAAATAACAAGTGATCATCGAAGTTTTTTGGTCAGCTCTTAAATATCTTATAAATTATATCAATTCTTTCTACTAAAGAAATATGTGGATAATCAATCTTACTTTAAATTGTTTAATTTTATCGTCAACGTTAGTTTATAATTTATAGACTCATTTACACGGGAAAGTTCTCTTTCTTTCTGATACTGACTGACTTAGTAAATGTCATTTATTTTTTTGGCAGAAATGAGTCATATTCCTCAATTATTGCAATCTTACCCTTAGTATATGCACGATTATAAAAGTGACATTAATTAAAGTAGGTATCTACCTACCCAGTTTTAAGAAAGGTTAATTTTATGTAGTTTATAGCTTCACAAGCTTGCAACAACTAAAATGTATAATGTCTTCATTAGCTGACGTCAAACATGAATGTCCTCGTTGAGAATCAATCTGTTACAGCTGTTTCTGACGCGCGTGTGCGCCCGCGCACGCTCGGATACCTGCATTGTCTAACTCATTGGACGTTTGTTCTATTTCTGTTGGCATTTAAAAACAACTGTAGGCCTAGAGAAAATCAATTAACAATCACATGTTTCGCAATGACCTTGATTTGTCAGACTAAAAGTTATGAGTCGACCATTTCACTGTGTAGTTATAAAATTTCCTGTTCACGATTCAACATTTTTAATTTGACGATATGTTTTACATTACATTATTTTGTGTATTTCTGTTGTAATTACATTTTTTTTGTGTAAAATAGGGGCAGACGAGGATACGGTCACCTGATGGAGGGAGGGTGGTCTCCGGCGACCTCACTCACTGGGTGAAAAGCAACGTATTAATTGCTAAACACTGGTTTTCGAGGCCCTGGTAACTCGAATAAAGCCGGACCACATGTGCTAATGCATGGCTCTCCGGACTATCGTATATTTATATAAAAATTGGCATAGGCATCGTATGTTGTTTGTCAACTAAGTTAGTTGATTATGATAAACATTGCTTACATTTTAATTACAAATTAACCATATCATTTCTTGGAGATTTTGTGATGGTAGTATGTAGGCATACATACTACCATCACAAAATATCAACGATTTAGACTTATTAGTATTTCGGACAATACATTACTTCTACACTAATTTATATGAAATCGTTATAATCTAAACAATCTTTATGAAAACTGTGAATTTCATTATTTTTAAATCGCCATATCAGTTTCTGAAAGTGTGATATGTAGCATGATAGCAACAGTGTGATATGTTTTAGTTATACGTAGTAGTTTCAAACTTTTCTAGATTCGGACTCCTTTTTCAATTTAACAATTAGAACAGTTTTTTCTTATTCTTCATCTTCTGCCTACCCTTATCCCAATTTTATTTGAGGTCGGCACATTAAATATGATTCTTCCATCATACTCTATCATTCGTCACTCTCACTGTTTATTCCTAGTCACACAGTCCATCCACCTGTTATTTGGTCTTCCTCGCCCTAATATAAGCCTATCGGCCTCGTTTTGCGGTAGAACTCAACTGCGCAGCCGATAGCGGCTATTCAGGTCGTACGGGAATACCGCACCATCTCGTCGGATGCGGTGACAGTCCTGGGCGGGGAGGTTCAGGACAGGCTCGAAATGATGCAAAGCACCCGTGGCTGGATCAGCCGCGAAATGTGCGCCATCGCGCTGTTGGTGCTATTCTGCCTCGAAGGGTGGGTAACTAGGGAGGCAGGTCGCGTCATCTATCATTTGACGCAGGTACTCCTCGGGCATTGGTAGTGATTGGGGAAAAAGGCGGGGAAGCTTGCCTTTATGCTTCTCCCGGGATAAGACCTAGTTAGGTGCGGCATTAATCCGGGAAGGACCTGGAATCACATGGTTGTGGTCCTCTCAGAGTTAAGCGTCTGAGGGCGGACATCGACGTACGACGACGTAGAAGAAACACCACATACTTCTAATTCCTATGTGTACAAGGTACTGGAAATCCAAAATCGATTTTCCAACCCATCAACAAAAAAGGGCCCTAACTGGTAGTTGCACAGGTTCCTAAAAGTTCACAATCCGCCCCTGTCCATAGCTCATTTCATGAATGACAAGTCTCAAATTCCGACCCATCCCCGTCTCCAGCCTTTGTTGCCAATTTTCCAGTCTGCTGCTGCTACAGAGACACTGAATTGATCAGTGTCTCTGTAGGCTTACGCCAGAGATCTTTTTCCTTTGTCTGTTTCTTCTTTCAAAGCCCACCACAAAACCACTCGGGGACCCTATCATATGCCTTTTCGAGGCCCACAAACACCATATGCAAGTTTTTCTCACATAGCGCATTGCAAATATAGCATCTGTTGTCCTGGCATAAACTCAAATTGACTTTAGTTATCTCACTCTCATCTCTTATTCTTCTCTCAATCACTTTCTCCCAGACTTTCATAGTATGTGACATGAATCCTGAATATTCCCTTTATTTTTGAGAATGTCCGTGTTTACTATTAATTTATTACCAATTCCAACATAAATGGTATGTAACCTGTCAAATGGCACGTTTCAATACTATTGTTTCTCAAATTAAATATTAAACTCGCCTTTTATGATATCATGGCGCTAACAATAGTACGAAACGGACTATAAAAGTATTGGCAGCCTATCTTCCCGGTAGAACAATGCGCTTGGCAATGACATTGTCTGCTGGCAACCAATAATAGCTTCGTCACTTAAATATCATCTATCATTCGTGAGAAATGGCTGTATGCTGTCCCATCTATACAATTATTTAAATTCAAGTTTATGAATAATTGGTGATTGTTTATTTCGTGTCTCGTAATATTGAAGGTAGACTGGTGGGTAGAGTGTTATTATTATTTCTGAAATAATAAAACATTAAGCTATTTTTATGTAGGGCTTGCAATGTTGGTTGACTAATAGAAAAGAAGGAATAACTCAGTAAATTTAATAAGAATAAAAGAGAATTCAATGTTGCCAATGCTAAATATTAAAAGAAAAAAGCAAAGAAAACTACATAATGATTGTGTTTTGCTAATAAATCATGAACCCTTAAAAACAAGACTTAGATTTGTTTCTTGCAAACTTCCTTGTATATTACTAAATAAAAGGATAAGTGGTATTCTCGTAATTTGGTTTATTTTCTTCGGTTTGTTTACTAGGTAATGCAGAAATAAATTTCAGTTCCGAAACAATCCTAAACTAAATTACTTAAAACTTAAACACAGTTATCTCTTTAGGGGTTTTACCTGATTTCTCAAAACATTTTAGTAAGTTGTTAGATGTTTAGTTAAATGTTAAATAGTTAAATGTAAAGTTAAATGTAACTTAAATATATAGGACCACAGTAAATACTACTATTTTTGCAACACAGTCAAAAATTGTTTTAAAAGAGTGAGGCAAACGTGTTTTTTCCAAGAGAACCTTGTCAAAAGATTCAAAGAAGGAACAACTTAACTCTATTAAATTGAAAACAATCTCTTATACATCAATGTACGTCTTAGTAAATTTAGTAGCTTTAAATAAAAGTTACAAGTTATGATATGAACATATTAACGACTCTTGATTTTTTTTTCTCTTAATTATGCTATGAAATAATTTTTAGTTTTAAGTTAATAGGAAGTACCTACTCTGTAGCCTTTTATTTAACAAAATTTTAAAATAGATTAAATTATGTCTAACCTTGCATTGCGTTGATTTATTAATTTTATTTCATAGTTTTTAGAGAATGCCTTCCTTTTTTTTATCATGTATAAAGGAACACTATACTCCCATTCTAGACCAGCTTAGCGTCAGGAACTGGATCTGAAGTTACTTACAAGACCTAAACATGAACATATCAC